GGGCATAGAGGACCTACAATAATGTACAGTATTTGAAAAATAATGTGTTTTTTGAACATTAAAGCATGTCAACATATTCTGTTACACCAAATACACAAAATAATGATCTTTAAAAAAGCATCATATGACCCCTTTAACATTTTGCCCATTTGTGATGGTCAATCAGCAAGCCTGCTGGGTAATTTGGGCAGTCTGTGGCCAACAGAGTAAGTTTTGTGCAGGCAAACAGGTGCCGATGCACCGTAAGTCCTGTTTAGCTTCGGTCACGCTTTGGACCGATTTATCATTCTTCAGTCCCTCCCTGAGCTCCATGCGCCTCCACGACTCACTGTTACAGTTGGCCCGATGCCGCTGCAGATCCATCAGCCGACACTCTGACACACCTCGCTGCCTGGAGCGGATGACATCACAGCTGGGACACGAGCTCATTTTTCAGGAGTGGAAAGTGTCCTTCTGTGTCGATAAACGTCATTCAGGGGTAACGCAGAGGAACGGCTCACATTCATAAGTACAGAATGAACATGAGGCAGTGAACCTTGGAGACAAGCGGGACAGAGTCGGTGACTGAATGCCACAGACGACAAGTTAGAAGTGAAATAAGAGTCAGATGCCTTTAAGCAACAATAAAGGCTCTGTCAGACTCTATCTGGCAGCGTATGACACAATCATGTCTGTGTCTCTTCAACTGGGCCAGAACCTGCAGCGCACAGGAAAGGACACAGAGAGTGGAGTCTAAAACTGGGCCGAACACTAGTCACGACAGCCACTAGCAGCACACTCAGTCCAAGTCTGGACAGGGTCAGCTGACAGCTACACACACACAAACACACTCCCCTTCTCAATCTCACATGCATAAAATATTAACAACCCATAAATAAAGCTGTGATTATAGGATGTTAATCGCTTTGGACATCGCTGACATTATTAAGAAACCATTTCAAACATTTCACTTGTTACACAAATTAAGATCATTCTCAATCTTTTTGGAGCTCAAAAGTGACATCAGTAAGTAAATATCAAAGCCTCAAATGAACAAATGTGATATAAAATGAGCATCTGCTGGAAAATGACTCATGCTCAATCCTTCATGCTCAAGTCCAAGTAACCCAAGACAAAAAACCCAAATATAACTACTGCACAATAAATGAATGCATTATTAAATCTGACAGAAAAACTGTGGTGAGCCGAAGAATATATGAATCTATTAACGGATATATATTTTTAAATTTTATTACTTTAAAACTTGATTCTGATCAGTCAATCATGCATAACTGAAAGATAAACTGGTTATTCCATCAATCTTCATGGCAACATACCGGTGCTACCTTCATTGTGTGACTCAACACGGCTACTATGACTATAATAAAAATGACATATTAACGTATACATAAATGTTTTTATATGTATGTGTGTGTGTGTGTGTGTGTGTGTGTGTGTGTATGTGTATACACATAAAAACCCAAATATAACTACTGCACAATAAATGAATGCATTATTAAATCTGACAGAAAAACTGTGGTGAGCCGAAGAATATATGAATCTATTAACGGATATATATTTTTAAATTTTATTACTTTAAAACTTGATTCTGATCAGTCAATCATGCATAACTGAAAGATAAACTGGTTATTCCATCAATCTTCATGGCAACATACCGGTGCTACCTTCATTGTGTGACTCAACACGGCTACTATGACTATAATAAAAATGACATATTAACGTATACATAAATGTTTTTATATGTATGTGTGTGTGTGTGTGTGTGTGTGTGTGTGTGTGTGTGTATACACGTACTAATAATTCTTATAGTAATATATAAGCTATAATTTTGTAGCTGAATATGTAACTAAATATATACAGTAGTTAAAAAAGTATAAATATATACAGTCCATTGAAAAAGTAACTAGTGCATGTATGTGTACAATATATCGGAATGATACAAGACCCTTCCCTTACTAACTTACAGAAGAAATTACAAAAATATATATAATAATAAATAAAAAAACTGCTCTAAAAGTATAAACTGCAAATCAATAAAGACCTATTTATAAATAAATGTTACATTAATTATTTGGCATTAACAAAATATTTTTTAAAATGAGTGTTTTTCTAATAACATTTACCAAATAATAATAGAATCAGGTAATTAGCGGATTATAGCAGAAAAAAGAAGACGGCTAGCTATGTCTGGCCCAAAATGAGCCCGATTACGTCTAAATGAAGAACTGGGTTACATTCAGGGTCCCGTTAAAGCAGCCGGCTGCGGTCTCCGTTAACGCAAGACCTAATAATACTGACGATAAATGATCTGATCTATCTAAGAATATAAATATGTCAGTCTATAGTCTTAACTTGAGCAACAGCCCGACTATAGGCTAGTAGTTGTCGGGCTAAATATGAAGTCGGAGGGTCCCAACAACTTTTTGTGCCCCAGACTAAACCCGCTACACTCCTCTCTCTATCAGCGGGGCCACTGGCACAGCTGGCATCATTACGCAGCCATCTGATGCCATCTGCACAAAAACCAGACATACACGAGGAGAATATCAGCTCCTTACCTCTGCAGAGTGGAATCAGGAAATGGCACTCTGAGTCCGCGGAGAGCAGAAGCCTGAGCCGTGTTGGCTGGCGATCCGGCGGAGATGACCTGGATTTCACCGCCAGCCTCGACGACGTAAAAATAAGCAGGCGAACAGTGGCGAGTGAAGCCAGCGGCAGTAAGACACACTCACTGATGGAGGACAGACGAACAGCTTTTAAAATAAAAGACTCAACGCAAGCGCGCGACACAAATCTTCAAAATAAGAGTTTCATGAACAAACAAACAAAAAAAAAATGAAAAGAAACAGATTGTGTCGTGCTTTACTTCAATTTCTAAATCTCAACGTGAGTTTTATGCTTAATATTAGATTGTTAGAGTTTTTTAAGTTGCAAGTTAACATGTTTTTTTGACTACACTGTAAAATTAGATCTTATGTTGATTTTAAATGTCTTAAAAGTTTACAAGTAATTATTCTCATTCTTTTGCTTATAATGTTTTTTATACGTCCGAACTGGATTTAGTCGTTCTCTCATCTTGAAGCCTGAAGGGCAGCAGGGACGTTAAGTGCATTCATATGCCGCCCCCTACTGGAAGGTTTTGGGGATAAAGTCACAGTTTTACTCATTGAATAAATGAAAATCGATCACTATTGTATTTTTAAAACACAAACAGTTTCTAGTTTTCTTAAAAGATACAAAACGACAAACTACCAAAATAAAGCTTTTTTCATTATATAGATAGTTGTTAGCCTAAATACTTGGTGTTATGATTCCTTATTTTCTTACTGATTAAACAATATACTGGCATGAGTGATGGAACTACAGTAGTTATTAATATTTTGAATAGCTCTATTTGTATTTCAGTTTTAGTTTCAGTTTAGTCATTTTATTAAACTTTCCTAGGCAACATTTCTAATGTTCATTTCCTACGTTTTTGAATACTCCTACGCATTTAAATTATTGAAAACAATTTTAACTGGTTCATTCAAGTATAGCAACAATGGCTTCCATCGCCATTAATAAGTGTATTTTGATTAAAGCTTTATTATTCCATGTTTTTAATGCTGATGTCACTGTTCAGTCCTCATCTGTAATTGGCCAGCATAGTTTCTCCCAGCTGAGCAGAAATACTAAGCAGAGCATTGGACAGTCATTCAGAAAATATGTCTGGAAATAAAACATGTGGCACCACTACACTGTTTAAAAATTCCCTCTTGGCTAGGATATAACCCATGATCAGAAAACCAGAAACGGGTTTCTACCAGCTTGTCAGGTTCGAGTGAGTAATAGTGTTAGACTAAATGTGGTTCATAGAACAAATATTTTCCCGTGGAGCACATAATTAAGATTTTTTAAAATATGTTTTGCAATGCTTGTATATTCATGATGAGCAGATTGTTTAGTTTTATATATATATATATAAACAGTGAAATTGTGACCCTGTGAAATTTCTTCTGTGTGCAGTTTTCTTTCATGTGTTGACGTCTTATTGAAAAAGGAAGACTACTGTAGATATATAGACTGTTGCAGATATATACAGGTACATCTCCAAAAATTAGAATATCATGAAAAAGCTCAATATTTTTTGTCACTCATTTCAGAAAGTGAAACCCATATATTATATAGATTCAATACACAGAGTGAAATATTTCAAGCCTTTATTTCTTGAAATTTTGATGATTATGGCTTACAGATAATGAAAACCCAAAATTCAGTGTCTCAGAAAAATAGAATATTGTGAAAAAGTTCAATATTGGAAAGTCATGGTGTCACACCCTAATCAGCGAATTACCTCAAAACACCTGCAAAGGTTTCCTGAGCCTTTAAATGGTCTCTCAGTCTGCGTCAGTAGGCTACACAATCATGGGGAAGACTGCTGACTTGACAGATG